ATTAAAGGAAAATATCATACTTATTTCAACAGAGTGATCTATATTAAAAAAAACGTCGATCTCTGTCACTTTCCATAGTTTTCATGACTCAATTTGCCTGTCCAGACTTTCGAAAACATCTAGCCTAGTGTCGTGTACCGGATTGAAAAATCGAAAACAACCCTTATTTTTTCCATGGCTATTTTTCAAGTTATATTCTGCCACTATTCTGGTCTCCGGAATTAAATATGTGCAACGTATTCTTGTAGAAGAGTTGCACATATTGTTTCTTGTTGTTGGTTCAGTCTGACCAATATACTCATCTCCAGAGCTTATTCTATATGTTCCCGACTTTTGATTTTTCACCATCTTGTTTTAAAGGTTATTTAGCACTTGTTAAAGTGAAGAACCAGACTCAAAAACTACTTTCATGTCAAGTAAAAAATCTCCTGAATACTTGAGGGATCTTCAAATGGTCAGTTGTCTAAGTGGTGAGGTAGTGAAATATCAAAAACAGGTAACTCAGATCTGCATGAAACAAAATGGCTCTCAGTACGACAACTGTTTCTACAGACAGTATGTGGGCACGATAATTCAGGGCACACTGGATTTTGCATTGCCATGCAAATCCTCAAGCTAATCTTTTCATGAAACAATTTGAACTGGGAGCCAGAGAGGAAGTTAGATTACTTTTTGCGAACTGGGATTCAACAAATTTGAGAAAGAATACTTTATTTCGGCTCCCCCGAATATGAAATTGAAAACAACAAGGAGGTGCCATTACTAGATCTCTTGATGATTAGAAGTATGGAATGTGATATATATAGGAAATAAACCACTACTTTCAAATATATTTCTGATATTTCTCTTATAGTCTACATCAAAAAGTGACGGGACTACACTTTCTGGTTCATAGGCTTCAAGATGATACTGAGAAAAATGTTATCATGGACATAGCAAAAAGTAATGGGTATCCTTCAAATATAGGTGAAAAGTAACTCAGGGAATGTAACTTCAGGATTATATTCGCGAGTCTTCGACTCTTTGAGATTACAGCCAGACAAGGTTGATTATTATTTCATATAAACCACGATACCATATCAGACTGAACATGAAAGTAGCCTTCAAAATAACTAGCTTGCTTCAAGTGCCACGTAACCCTGAAGATGAGATGGAGTTAAATGAAAAGTCGGTGATATATCAAATGAGCTGTGACGATTGTGACAAACAATAGATTGGTGAGGCTAGAGAAGTTGATGAAACTCGTTCCAGAGAACACGTATTCTAAATTCAATTTCAGAAACGAGAAAGGCTAGTGTTGCTCAGCATACCTTGGAAATGTATGAATTATGGTCTGAATAATAACACTGCCTCTCAGTTCTCATCGGAAATGATTCAATGAATTTCCACAAAAGGGGTAATATATAGTTCAATGGCCTTCGGTAGTCTGAAGTAAGTTTAGTTTTTGAAGTGTGTCCTAGGTTTGTTCAGGAAAATGGTCGTTTTGACGTTGAAACGTTATTTTTTTTCGAAACTTCGACAGTTCAATCAATAGTGGTTTAAGAAAATATTGAACGATCATTAGACCAACAATTCTTCACCAACTATTAATTCCTTATGAATATCGAATGTGGGTCGTGATTGTACAATTCGTTATGCTATTAGAATACACAATGTTGATTAGTGAGTGTGATTGGTGAAGCTACGAATCCCAGAACTTTCGGAAACATTTTTCTACCAGTCTGCTACAAGAACCAATTTTGGTCACGAGAGAGGTACTCAGTTAATGGTTCCATAAACATTTCGGCTCAGAAGTGGTGAAGTACATGTAAAGATCCAATTCGCCCAATAAAAGTTCTACTCGTGCTTGACAATGCTTCAGGCCACCCAAATCAATAAAAACTCAGATCCAGTGATGGAAATGTCCATCTTCTTACCACCCAACTACCTACCACCAAACTTCAGAAAGTGGGGTCATTGCATTAAAAATAATTTGTTAATCCACATTATTTTTCAAAATAGTGATATAATCCAGAGCACCGTATAGAAGTAAACACAAGTAAGTTCACTCTCCGCCATCTGTATCTGTAGAGTAGGGAGGGTGAGTGTAAGCCCACGCACTTAGGCCACATGTGACCTATTGTACATCCTCCCGAGGAGTTGTCTTTCTAGGTCATCGTCCATCTTGTCCTTTCCAGGAAGGTGGACAGGTCGCTGGGAGTCATCTCCTTTATATCGGCAAGTGTAGGCCAAGACTCGCCGAACACACACTCTCTTATTGACGATAACTCCGAACACTCGCACAGGACATGCCTGACAGTCTCATCATCCTGTTCACACATCCTGCATAAAGGTGTGTCCACTAGCCCCATATTATGGAGGTGTTTCCTTAGTTGACAGTGGCCAGTGTAAGGCGTAGATTTTTCCTGGTCATCGCCAGATATTTCTTCGGCGCTAGCTTCCCAGGGTCGCCCAAGGTGATCCTGACAAGATTACATCCTTTCATTCCATGCCATCTCTTTAAGGATTAAGCATTGGTGTAACATTTGACTAGTTCCGCAATTGTCGAAGTCATCAGGCCGTGGCTGCCGTTTCGTTGGGTAAAGAGTCGGCATTGCGATTACCTTTACTCCTGTCGTGCCCTTTAACCCACCTCAGGATAATGTTATTATCTACCAAGGCTTTGGCTAAATCTTGGTGGCACTCTAGTACTAGCCCTGAGGTAACACGCTGTCTGTTCAAGGCTAATATTGCTTGTCTGCTATCAGAGCAGATTGTTATGTTTTTGCCAGAAATTCCTTTCTTGGTTATTTCTTTTGTGGCGATTGAGATACCGCAATATTTGGGTCAACATTTCCCACCTCGAATTTTATGCTCAGCGAACCTACTGCGCAACCGACTGAATCTAATGGGTTTACCAAGCGAGCCAAGTTGAAGCATGGAATATTATTACAGAGTGAGTCGTTGTAAGTGGTGGTTTTGTATTTGTGAAAAATTATTGTCTAGTTTCAAAATGAACAAGTGTCGAGCTGTGAGTTGCTGTAATTTGCAGGGTGATGTCGGCATTAATTATTTTTTAGATTTCCAGTTTATGTTTTTCTAGTATTCATTATGTAAGATTGAAGGAATGAACGTATAACGAAAATCATAAAATAAATTGTTATAGACCAAATGTATGCAGATTTTTTTTATGAAATTAATTTGATGATATTAAACTTCACGAATAGTATATGCCTCAAAACTAATGATATAAAATGACAATACAATCGGAGTTCCACTGGAAATCCACAAAGGAAAACAATTGTGGAACCAGTTTTTGATCTGAATTGTATAATATCACCTTGTTTAAACAAATTCAAAAACTCTCAATATCTAATGAACGATCAAACTGAATTGAATTATTCACCATTATTGAATCTGTTCATTTCCAGGTTAAAGTAGACAGATATATTTACGGTACTTTCGAAAGATTTATTGATATAGTTGATGAATTCATACTTGATCGTTCAGAGTATAAAATGTTTGTAATTTGAAAGTAAATTTTATTTCATGCTTGAGAAAGCTATTGTATAGCGAAATACACGTGTCGTGGTTTTTGTAAAACCATCTATAGTGAAAATCATACAATAAACTGTATTTATTAGTTCAAATATGGATTTTCATCAAGTATCGGCCAGCTCTATTCAATTATTTTACCTTGGATTATTCATTTTCTCTTTTCACAAGGGTAAGAATTTATTTTACTCTGAAATTTGACAATAGAAATTTGAAAACAAATGTTGAATAAAAATCAAAAATGAAAAACCTTACAATAGATTAGCATAAGTTTTTGACCTAAATTGTATAATCTTACTTTACAAAATATACATTTATTTCACCACCTTTATTTATTTTTCATCAATTCCTAAACAGGTCAAAATCATATGAAATATTTATTGTGAGCTCCTCGTAGCAATGATGAAGTCAGATCATGGTCACATATCTTCTGATCGAACCTTGTGCAGAGGTGCACGATAGCTCTCAGCCTACACCCTCCTGCCCCGCCACATGCCAGCAAAAAATAAAATTTCCACCCGAAACATCAAAGTTCCCGACGGAAGTGAATTTACTTGTGTTTACTTCTATACGGCGACAAATGGAGAAAATTTAAATTCTTGGTTTGAAGGGAAAAACAGAAAATTATGACAAATAAAGAGATATAAGGACCAGTTCAAAAATAAAAACGCCTTGTAGGAATATTGGAGTAACCAACTACTACAACTGTGAAAGAAAACCAAATAGAGCATTGAATTGTTTCACATCCTGCAAAACACGGGTTGAAGAAAACTGCGTATCTGCTGAAGAGATTATAATGTTTCGAAACATGAGAGGAAACGTTTTCAAACAAAAACTGCAAGTTGCACAAAAACAGACCATAATGAAGGATAATTTCAAAACTATGTAATTAGGTAATTGTGAGATATGTTACAGTTGAAAATACATGTAGATCATGAACATATAATTTTAATTCGTTATGATTTGTCTAATTTTGTTCATGATGAATTTCTCTGAACAATTCAGTGATAATTCGGCACCCTATGGTTCATAGTAATGCCGGAAAAGTGAGATTCCACTGTATTTTTCTATTTATCAACTATTAAAAAAAATCTAAATTTCATTCAAATGCAGTAACATTTATGAAAAATTTTAGTAATTTACCCATCTTGTTAATATATTTTCTTGAATTTCAGGGGATTAAAATCGATAAATTCTAGAAATGGAAAAAAAAATTCATAAAATAGTGAATATTGCCTTGTCCTACCATTATATACTCTCTAAACAATCCAGTATCACTTTGTTGATGATGGATGAAATCAAGTACATCAAAAAGATAAATGTAAGTTTAAATATTCTACTTATATAGAAACTTGAAGTTCAGACCACCAAAAAACAACCATTTGCACGATTAGTACAGGTTTGATATACAAAAGTTTCAAAAACTGTAGAATTATAAGAATAGAATTACAAAACTTATGAGTTTATCAAAACCTCTTGATTTTTCGCAGCGAATGGTAGTAGGCCATGACAGCCCGTAAATTTTTCCAACTTTGCGTTGCAGCCTTTGCCGGTTCTGATTGTCTTCTGTCATTGGTCGCCTTGGAATTGAAACTTCTGAAAAGATGCTATTGCTAAATTCTTAAATGTAATGGGACTACATACAAAGGAAAGGTACATACACTATAAGATTCGGAAGAAATGTGAAACCAGCTATATTTAGGTTTTGAAATTATGGTTTCTAATTTTCATAAACTACACCACCACAATTTCATTAATTTATTTATTCATCCATTTAATTTTTTATTATGGAAATCACGGAGGCCTTCTGCACAAATTAGTCGCGTTCGACCTGCCTCGAGGCCTGAATCGGTGTATTGGGTCTTTCCTGAAAGACAGAATATTACGACCTCGAGCGCTGGTACCTCGATTGGAAGATCCGAGTGAACCCAAACAATACTCAGGCGATAACCATGGGAAGACTGCTATCTTCTCCGGCCAGAAAAGTGAGAATCTCTGGAAGGGAGATTGACTGGCAAGCGCGAGTAAAGTCCCTCGGCCTTCTAATAGACCGTAGGCTCACTTGGAACCTGCACATTATGTGCGTTAAGTCAAAGATTGAGGGTCGGATAGCTAGTCTGTACCCTCTGATCAACAGAAAATCAGAAATGATTCTAAAGAACAAAAGTACCATCAACAATACGATGTTCAAGCCTGTCTGGAGACGAGCGGCTTCGTATAATATCTCCATTCTGGAGAGATTGCAAAATAAGTTGATGACGATGATTGTGAATGCTCCTTGGTTCGTGCGGAATGAAGCCATCCGCAGAGATTTGCAGCTGCTTTCCGTTCGGCAGTCCATTCAGTCGAGGAATCGGAGAGTTTTTGATAGCGGGGAAACTCACGAAAATTCGTTTGTTAGGGAAGCTATAGATTATGCTGTAGATGACCCTTCCTGAAATAGAAGGCCCCGACGCTCTGTCGAATGAGGCCCTCAAGTCCCCCGTTAACGGACGAATAGATTTTTCATCCATCCCACCCCAGCCAGGTAGGGGTACCCCGTGAAGGGCGGTACTGATGTCTGAGGACTTCATGCCACCAACAATCCCCTCAGGCATGAACCCATTTGTCCTTCTTCGATAAAAACCAGCTGAAAGGGTAGGGGAGCTGGGCTCCAACCTGATTGAATTGAAGACGCTTGGTCGGTTTATTGTGGAGATCAAATCGTGAGGTGTAGTTTACAAAATTACTATGGAACTTCATCAAGCAACGGCTGAATCATCAGAAAAAAACTTTCTCACGCGATGGTTTATTTCATAACGATATACGTATAGAGTCTATAGTTTACTTTCAACAATCTACCACTCAGAGCGGTTGCCGAAAAATATAGACACTGGAAATATTACGACAAAATCCACAAATTGATCTGAAGCTTGAGATACTACATTCATTTTTTTCATTAATTTTTTCATTTCATGAGAATACTAGGAAGCGACAAGAAGCAATTGTAATACGTTCCTCATTAAGGTAACTTCTTTCATATAAATACCTTCATCAGTTTCAATTTATGGAAGTCTCATCAATTTCCATTCCAGAAATAACGGTGCATGTGTGATATAGTTACAATTGTGAAATTGGTTCTGAACCAATATTATTTTCCAAAACACTCCTTTGTTTTTTCATGATGACCAAATCAACATTTTTGCGACTATAATTTCGGATGATCAGAAATCCACATTACTGAATGGCAAAACTTGAATATTTATACAGAATAAAAATCTATAGTTTCTCCCTAGAGGTGAATTTTGCTCATCAGAAGATTATTAAAGTCATTTCCATGGATAATACGTTTATTTTTCACTTCCTTAATAGAAAACAACAAAAAATTTTCCGCAAGTTTGTAAACAAATATTTTATTTGATTGAACATTTTTTCATATAACGACATGAGAATCAATTGTGCCACCATAATATACCAAGCTAAAAAGGGGTTGAAGCAATTTTTTTGTTCATACAATTATTAATATCTCTCACTTCAATACATACAATGAAACTGATTTCAGGGTTCGCTTTATTTTAATAGGTTCATAAATAAAAAAGTTTAGTGAAGTTATAATTTTAAAACTAGTTTCTTATGAGGAGAATAATTTAAATTTTGTGAATAGCAAATAATAACAGATATTTCTTGATGAATATGACTTTTTTGTTTTTCCCTTTCTCTTGAGCCACCTCCAGAAAATGGTTTTTGAACGCTCCAAATAATAATAAAAAGTAAAAATAAAACGATTGAACAAAAAATGAAAATAAAGAAATAAAAATGAAAATAAAAATTAAGGGATTCCAAGCCACGTTAGTTCACGACGTTTCGATTGTAAGTATCTACAATCGTCTTCGGGTGATGACTTGCTCATTTCCTCACACCACTTGACGCGAACCTTTTTTTTTGGGCGAATGATGAATTATGGGGTATCCAACCAGAACTTTTTTTCACAACTAAGTGTTTATGCAAAATTGAAGCTAGTGAAGTGGAACTAATGTGCAAGGATGCCTGTGTCACATGATGATCTTGCATTATCAGTTTACGCACTGCATCGTTGTTTTGTGGCACAACAACCGATTTTGAACAACCTTCACGGAGTTCGTCGGCGACCGAACTACGACCACTATTGAATTCACTATACCAGCAATATTCTCTGGTTTTTGATGGTGCTTTATAGTCATACCAAGAACTGAGTTCATCGCTACAATCTCGTTGAGATGTGTCGAAAGTTGTGATAATGATCCAACGAAAACTTTTTCTTGAAATTTCCACTGTGAACAAAACAAAAAGCACTTGTACATCAAAACGTTGTGAGTACGTTTATGCTAAAAATTGTCAAACTTTCAATGTTATTTTCTTCATTCGCGATTGAAGGCCGTCGTAATTTGGAACTGCATCCAAATGTTTCGCCAGCACGAGTGGCTAGCTTCTTGAGAAGTTTAATTTTCTTGACGATTCACCGATGACTGATGAAGATGAATAAACCTCTGAAGAAGCCAGCCACTCATTCTGGCGAAACGTTAGGATGCAGTTCCAAACTACCACGACTTTCGAACCCGAATGAAGATACTAACAGTGAAAATTTCGAGCGCGAAAGTCTTAACCAATTCATTTATGTCAAACTTTATTATGGTTATGCCACATTTTACCTATTGACATTAGTGTTGCCAGTTTCCGAAATATAAGTAGTTCTCCATCGTGTATGTACATCAAAGAAAGGCAAATACATACGACTTGTTCGATTGATTGCCTATTTATTTTTCCTCTATTGAATACATGAAAATATTTTGCTATTAGAAAATATGAAAAATCAAAAAACTGAAGTGTACGCGAATGAAATCGCTGGCTTTAATCTATTTCTATAATATATATGAGTAGGTTAGACTAGTGCCTAGTGATTTAAAATTTTCTCACTCTGACTAAAAAGCATCGATTTCAACGACTGAAAAGAGTTTCAATCAACATCAAAATCAACATAGGTGTCAACAAATTGTTATATTCACAGTTGATAATTATTAGAATTGAATTTGAATTCTTGAAAGATGTCTCAGACATTGGTTTCATGACCGAAAATTGTTGGAACAAATTCAAACCATGCTGTTATGAATGCCATATAGTTTGTTTTTATTGATTGCGATTTTTGATACTTTCGAATTGTTTTTGTTTGAATACAGTTTTGTCTAAATTTTCCAGCTCATCTCAGTGCTGAGTTCATATTGTTTGTTTCAGTATAGAAACTGAATCAATGAGATGAGTTAGATTAGATTAAATTGTCGGGAAGCTAGCCCATGGCCTGATTCACTGCGACCTTTTCAGATCAACTGTGATGCTCAAAGAGATCAACGTTAGATATATAATGTTCCTTGGCATATCATCCCTTCATTGAGATTGTACAATCAACTCAGTTATTTTAAGGACTGTGAAGCGTTTCATTTATCTTTCATTCAGCTTTTGAAAATGGATGCTTCTTCATCACACAAAATTATAAAATCATTTGAAGTATGTTTATCAATTTGATACTTTCTGCAGATGAATGTATCTTCATTACTACTATATCTTTGTGTGGTGCACTGCTTGGAAACTTTGGTGTAATAATGAATATTACTGGAGTTTTTTCCCAAAACCAAACCGTTATTTCACACCTTGACACGTGTTTCGATCACGAAGTAATCATCTTTAAGATGAAGATCAACCTGCAGTTTGATCTGGGTTTGGTGTTGCGAAAAATCTCCAGTAATATTCACTAATGTTTCTAACATTGAAAACGTGACATCTGTTCAACCGATCGGGCGTGTCTTCAATGAAAACCACAGCTTCAACTAATTATATACCTCGTGACTTATAAATTGGAATTGCGATGATTGATTGTTAAGTGAATTGGATAAAAAGTATCTCCACGTCTTTTAACACGCTTTTATTAGCTTCACCTGTATGTATGTATGTATGTATGTATGTATGTATGTTTGTAACTCTCAAGCTAGGGATCTGAATTTGACAGAATTATCAACACTATTGCTTGATCTATTCGAGGGCAGATGGCGCTGCACGTAACCTACTTGATATAATTCGAACTCATTTTACATGTATTTCTTCATTTGAGAAAAAATATTTTTTTTCATTAAAACGCGCGCCTGTTGCCTTATTTGTAACCCTACTTTGCGCGCCTGCTGCCTTTCTTGGGCTTGGTAGCTGATTTTCTGACTCCTTCTCCGGAATCGGAAAATATCGATGGTCATTTTTCTAAACAATATACGGCTGATTGATTCCAAAGTTCAGATAAAATAAATATAGTTTGAAAAAACTAAAAAACACGCTGTTAAAGAACATCACACTGAAAAGTTAAGAATATATATTTGTTTAAATAAGCTTAAACAATAACGAACGAAAAATATTAATATTATTGTGAAAAAAGCGTGGGCGCTTTATGCCATATTTAAAAAAATATTTTTAACTTTTCAGTTCGATGTTCTTTAAAAGCGTGTTTTTTCAAACTATATGTATCCAATATTTTTTCAGGAGTTGTACTGCGCTGTATAGACACTTATCATTCAATAACTTCACATCATTTTTCTCAAGTC